AAAAACCATATCTCGAAAAAATTATGATTCGACATACATATATATGTTGAACTTAAAAGAGCATTTTGTTGCATAAATCGGGATTAAACATTTATTACTTTTTAGTATTTGAGAATGATTTGAGAATCGTTTTTGGAAATGTGTTATGAAAGGATACATTTATATATTGCGTTATGAACTAGTTTATGAAATGAGTTCGGAAATGATTCAAGAAATGCTCTACAAAATGTATTTTTGGCGGATGAGCCGTGTTGTGAGAAAGTTACTTGTTTGGTTTGTGAAATGTATTATGGATTGGATTTCTGATATTAGATGATGATTGTTTGATGCTCAATATGACTGTGAACCCATTGAGGGGTTTTGGGGTATGCATACCGGGTTTAGGATATCCTTCTGGGCCGAGCCACCGGCTTTATAGGTGGAGACCTTGCCCGGGGGGAATCTTGGTGGCCTTGTCACAAGACTTTGTGTCATGACCATGGTTAGATATTGAGCAATAGATTGGTCGATAGAATGGACCATCGACGTTTGATGTGATATGAGATTCATTAATGGAATAGACCATTGATGTGTGATTTGAGATTAGTCAATGGAATGGATCATTGACGTGGTTTTTATAGAGATTAATCAATGGACGTGACCATTGATGATTGAATTGCGATGGTGTATCAAATGAGTATTTTCTGGTTTGTATCAAGTTTTGTGAAAAAAAAAAAACTCATATTTGATATGATATATATATGATACTGTGAATTTTAAGTTATGAGTTTTTGGTATTGCTTTATATATGCATAGTGGTTGTTCGATTTGCTTAGAAGAGATACGCACTACTTACTGAGCTGTGGTTGCTCACCCCTTTCTTTCCCAATATTTTCAGGTTCCTCTGCTAGCGGCCGTTAGTACGAGAGCGCTATCGCGGGGACGTTTGGGAGTTCGATTTTTGGGTATGATTTTTGGAGTTGTTTGTAAGGTTGTTGATAGTTCGTCGGGTTGGCTGAGTTATTGAAGTACATGTTCTTTTGGTGGATTATAGAAACTCTGATGTTGTAACCAACCCGTTAGTTTATCTGATATATATGTGGTTTGAGATATATATATATATATATATATATATATATATATATATATATATATATATAACATGTTGTTGGTTGTTGTTGAGGCTGCGTCCTTCGTGTGGAAGGACGGCCGTGTCATCTCCCTTTTCGAGTTGTTTTTGGGGTGTGACAGTTTTAATGTCAAGTATCATGTCTACAATGAACTCCAACCCTGAACACAAATGTGATTTAGACCCTTTCCTTTGATGGGGCTTCCCGGCACTTTAAATCGTGTTGATTTTTGTTCAATTTAAGCTCAAAATCCATCCTCCCATTTAACACATATTGTTTACTGGCAAACCAAAAGTCAGTCCCATTTAGTAACAACCTCTTACTTGCAACTTTGGTAACCATCTGGTTCGTGAAAATACTCCAAAATAATGTTATCATTTACTTATGGTATTGAAAGCGATCCGTAAATTTGATTTGGCAACATTTTGACAATTGTTTTCAAACTTTTCGATGTTTCATTGCTTTCATTCTAAATAAAGCAAAGAAGAAAATGTGGATGCTTCCAATGCCCAAAGCAAAAGGTCTTTTTATAATTTCGAGAAAATATAATCATATCTTTACTATTCATGTTCCAAAAAGGAATGTTGGTTTTCACTTCCTGAAAAAAAAAAAAATGAGACTAGACACTGTGTAGATAAAAATTGGAAAGCTTTTCTCAAATCAAACAGGCCCCTAGTCTTTGTTTCCTTCTTTTCTTTCGAAAATTTTGGCCACTGATGTCTGTCCTCTATATTGCTTTACCTTGTGAAACTTGCATAGCCTTGCTTTATCCCGAGCTTTCATAACCTGTCTAAGTTTATTCAAAGTTCTTGTGCCAACGAATTTAATGCTGGAATTGAGCCAATCATCTAGCTCATGACTTATCATGTCTGAAACGAGTGTGTACAATTCTCCATATAAATTATTTAGCCAAAATTTTCCTCGTCACTTGCTGAGCTTAATTATTCAACTGTAGCGGTTTGCCCATAAACAGTGTCTTTTTTAGCAGTTCTCAAGAATACATCATGACATGAACCACGATTACGGGATAAACTGAGACAGGATAAACTTTAGGGGCAAAGTGACACGAAGGGAATGTTTAGGGAGCTAAGTCTATTTTTTCAACTTGTCAGCACCAGCGTTCTAAAGGAACAAATGTAAACTATTACTTGTGCGGTTATGGTTGGCCATAGTATCCTCATCTTACCAAACTCAAGCTTACATTTGAAAGCAGGGCTCGGGGATATTTATCCTTATCTCTGAATCAAAATATTTACTTTGCCTCTCAGACTATATTAGTAAATAGATAATTCTTCGGGGAATAACTATTGTAAGCCAAAACTACCTCAACACCACATAATTCGTTTCAGCCTTATTTTGAACAATCTGGGTAAATTAAGAAAGCTCTTACTTTTTTTGTACTAACTTATTCTTAAAGCTGGGAAACTTCACCTAATTCCAACAATGTCCTCGACGAAGAATATCAGATCCTCTTTAAGACATCGGTTGAGTGCTATTGTCTTATTCTGGTAGATTGATCAAAGAACCACTCAGATAGGCTATATTTATCTCATATCTCCTGGACATATCAAACATACTGTTAGGAATATGGATTAAGGGAATTATTCTACTTGTATAATGTGTTCGCATAATTAGAAAATACGTCGACTATCCTTCACGAGACAATTCAATCCTTCTGGCTAATTTTAATCAGCTACTGCTGAGGTGTAGGCTGGCCCGCTTATGTGGCACGGCCGGTGCTGATGTGGACATATTTAAATAATATTTTAATAATTTTCTATATTTTTCTTTTTTTCCTTTCTTATTTTTTCCTCCTCTTTCCTCTAGTTACCGGTGAGGGCGAGTGTCGGCGAGGCCACCCTTGCCAAATCTGGCGAGGCTGACCCTCACCCATGCTAGGAGCCCAATTGCCCAAGCAACGCTTGGGCTCACCAGATTTGGCGAGGGCGGCCTCACCGGTGCTTGCCCTTGCCGGTCACCGGAGGAAAGAGGACGAAAAATAGAGAGAAAAAAGAAAAAAATTAAAAAATTCTTAAAATATTATTAAAAAAATGCCTACGTCATTGCCAGCCATGTCATGTACGCCGGTCAACGTCCACGTCAATAATATCCTATCAAAATTAGCTAGAAAGACTGAATTGGCTCTAGGTCAAAAGGTTTAGAACTAATCTGGTATCAATAAAATATTTAGGACTAAATTAGCACAAATGCAATAGGTTTTAAGACTTTTCTGACACTTTTCCCTGCCCGAGGATGAACCATGGAAAAACAAGGAGTCATGTGAACACTATTAATGAAGATTAGATGACATTAGACGCAGCTTAAGTTTCATGAATACTACTAGTTTGAAAGAATCTCTCCTTAATTAATTTATTACTGTAAGGACCTCGGCCCCACCACGCTTCCGCTGCGCCACTCCTTGTGTAATATTGTCCGCTTTGGACACTAAGTCCTCACGGTTTTAAAACGCGTTACACGAGGATTAGGGGTCAAGCCTTATAAACTCACCAAGATCTCACTCCCTAAGTAATGTGGGACAAGAGCAATGCAATCCCCTCACCATCCGCGAAATCCGGGTCGTTACAATTACTGTGTACTAAACTAACTGGAAGTTCTATAGTTATAAAATTAATGAGTGATGCTCCAGCTGTATCAACAATAAATAACTTTTTACCTATCAAAAAAGAAAGAAGAAAAGGCTGTCATCGGCAGAACAAAACCATGTTTAACATTTTTATTTTGGCAAAATATAATAAGACGTTTAATCGAGATTGGCAGCTTTAATGTCAATAATAAATAAACTCTACAAAGCATTAAACAATTATGTTTGGGTTCCTTTTATTATCTCTTTAAGTACTAGAGATTTGCCTTTTCTTGCACGTTCTTGTTGCATCGAGCTTTGCTAGACTATAGAAAAATATTTGTTTTCCTATGTCGTATGAATTTGTCTTTTCGTACACTTTCATGTTGCAGTTCTTTGTTGGATTGAATCTAATCCTCGAACTCACTCAATATAGTCATTCCATTAAAATTATAACACCGTTTGCTAGTGTAACCACATAGAACACCAAAGAAAAGTTCAAAAACGACTCATGTCATTATCTCATTAGACAAATTGAAACCTCAAGCACGGGAGTCAAACACACCTGATTGTCAAGATCGTTTTTCCATTTTATGCACAGACTCAATTGTTGTGGGCTGAGTTTGGGTTGGCGTAGGGAAAATTACCAATTCAGTCCTAAATCTATTGTACGGATGTCAGTTCAATCTTAAACTTTCATGTTGCAAGTGTAGTCCTAAATATTTGTACGAAATCCCAATGAACTCCTTTTAATTAATTGGCTCCGGAAAACTGCTGACGTGATGGTGATTAAAGTTGTCCACGTTGGCGCAACACGTAGGACGGTCAAGGATGACTGGATGCCACATCAACAATTCCTAGCTACAATTGGCCGCAAAGATTACACTGGAATTTCGCGCAAAAATTTAGGACTACATCGACGAAATTGAAAAATTTGGGACAAAATTGGCATTCGTATAGTAGCTTAGTGACTGATTTGGTAATTATCTCAACCTCTAGGTTGGACGCATCGCAAGGGCCTGTCGTGGTCTAGAAACTGTCCGAAAATATTGACATCCACCTTCGCCCTAGTGCAGGTTCACACGACATGACACGATAAATCGTTTTCTTGTGAAAATGAAATGGTGGGGAAAAAATTATATGAATGGATAAAAAAATATGGAATTTGTATTATCATATCAGTTTAAAGAAATGTTCTTGTGTGATCCAGAAACGTTTTAGCACTGTGGGTCACATGTGCCTGCCAAAGCATGTGAAGGGCTTTTGCCAGAATTCATCACGCCCCGACGGCCAGCTGTCGGTGTAATCTTTAGCGCTTGTGAAATCTAGTGTATGCAATAAGACAATTTCAATGACCTCCAAGTAGAAATATAGAAGGGATCGCACTTCTTCTAGTTGTAGATTCACAAAGAGATATATGGATTACTTAGTTCTGATTTTGTATTTGTACCTCCTCTGGGGCTTGTTCCATGCTCTCTCTTTCGTTCCCGACAGAGGCCAAAGAGCTCGGCCCTCCAAACTGCCCCCCGGTCCACGGCCTCTCCCGATCATCGGCAACCTCCTCGAGCTCGGAGATCTTCCCCACAAGTCCCTCACTAAGCTCGCTCACACTTACGGCCCCATCATCAAGCTGGAACTCGGCTTCGTGACCACGGTGGTGGTCTCTTCACCGATGCTCGCCAAAGAAATCCTCCAGACCCACGATACTGTCTTCTCGAATCGTATGATTCCGGATTCCATCACAGCCCATGACCATGACAAGCTAGGCTTGGCCTGGTTACACGTTTCGCCTCTCTACCGAAACCTCAGGAAAATATTCAACTTGTATATCTTCACCCGCAAAAAACTCGATTTGAACCAACACCTTCGCGGCAAGAAAGTGCAAGAGCTGGTTGCCTTTGTGAGGAAATGCGTGTATGCTGGCGAGGCAGTGAATATCGGTGAGGCGGCTTTCAGGGCCAGCCTTAACGCGATATCGAACACGGTTTTCTCTTTGGACATGACGGAACCTTCGAATCCAGCTGGAGAGCTGAAGGAGGTGGTGTGGCAAATCATGGTTGAGATTGGAAAGCCTAACCTGGCAGATTACTTTCCCGTACTCAAGAAGATTGACCCGCACGGTTCGAAGCGTCGCCTTGAGGCGAATTTCCAGAAGATGTTCGACTTTTTCGACGAAGTGATCCAGAGAAGGTTGCAGCTGAGGACAGAGAACAGTTCGGTGAGGTGTAATGATGTTTTGGATAATCTGCTTGATGTAGTTGAGGATAAAAATGAGACCCTGGACATCTCCCGTGTCAAGCATCTACTTCTGGTACCGTGTCCTCGTAATTTTGCTTCCCTAATTGTGATAACTATGTTCTAATTTCTAGGAAAAAACTCTTCTTTTGCAACATCCATCATGCAGGACATATTCGTCGCTGGTAGCGAAACCACTTCGAGCACTCTGGAGTATGCAATGACGGAACTACTTCGCAACCCAGAAAAGCTATCAAGAGCCCAGGCCGAGCTCCATCAAGTTATTGGCAAAGGCAAGAAGATTGAAGAAGACGATATTTCTCGCTTACCTTATTTACAAGCTATCTTGAAAGAGACTTTCCGATTGCACCCAGTGGTTCCTCTCGTTCCTCGGACATCTGGAGGGAATTCGGTTATAGGCGGTTTCACCATTCCAAAGGGTGCACAAGTTCTCATAAATGTGTTTGCGATAGGACGAGATCCGAGCATTTGGGATGATCCAGACAAGTTCGTGCCCGAGAGATTTCTTGGATCCGATATTGATGTTAGGGGACAGAACTTCGTGCTGGTACCGTTTGGTGGTGGCAGGCGGATTTGTCCGGGATTGCCATTGGCCATGAGAATGTTGCCTTTGATGCTCGGTTCGCTCATTAACATATTCAATTGGAAGCTCGAAGATGGTGTTATCCCTGAGAACATGAACATGGAAGACAAGTTCGGATTAACCATCCAAAAGGCTCAATCTCTAAAAGCTGTGCCCATTCCTATATGAAAGGAGTAATTGTATCGAGTATATCTAAGTGAGTCTATATATATTAAAAAATAAGTGCAAGGAATGAATGCATGTTCGCGTTACATTCTATGTAATTATGCTTGATTGTGTTGATCGCATCGTCTATTTAAAGAAAATAAAAGTATTATTTTGGTAAATCGTGCGTTTTTTCTTGAATTTATATCCTGGCAAATAAAGAGATATTAGAGAGGGAAAAGAATTTCCCAATATAGTAGATGTTGAAGAACAGGCCAGAGATTTGGGAAATCTTACCTCTCTTTATCTGTGTAATCTCTTTTCCTTACAATCCGTATGTGGTGATAACTTTAAGTCCGAGACAGAGGTCTTCTCAGATGTTAAGAGCTTGTACATAGAGTACTGCCTAATGCTTGCCAACATTTTCCAACTGTCTAAACTATTAGGATTCGACGCACAATCACAAGAAAATATAGAGTAAAAGCGAGAAAAATATTCGAGATATAAGGTTTTTATCCTAGTTTGCCCTTAAATTAGGGATGCATTCAATAGAGGGTTCTACTATAATTAGCAACTCCCACCTTTCCGTTACATCTCAATTACAAAAAAGAAGAAGATAATATATATAGTTAGTAGTTCATTCATAGGCCAAAATCCAAACTAACAATAAAATACGGACTCAAACTATAAAAGCCCTTTGGCATCCAAGGGGTAGTGCCCCCTTATAACCTTCATTCCTCGCTCGCTCATTAGAGAGCGGGACCCTCGTGCCTTCCTGTCAATAGGAAGTATAAACCATACCCCAAGATTCTTTCACTTGGTGAATACTTCACATGCTTCTTCAAACCCAACACACTTTTCTGCACTCACTGCCTTGGTAAAAAAATATGCACTATCATCTATGTGTCAATTTGCTCCAGTACTATAATTTTATGTTCCACTTTCTCTCGGATGAAGTGATTTTGTATGCACATGCTTTGTTCTTGCATAGAATCTAGGATTCTTAGCCAAGAATGTAGCACTCTGGTTATCTCACCCAATTTTCACTCCTCATTATGTAAAACCAAGCTCTTTACACAATATACGCATCCAGATTACTTCCTTAGCAGCATTGCCATGTACTCTGCCTCAATAGTAAATAAAATAACCGTGCTCTGCCTCTTGCTCATCCAACTCACGGCTTCGTCGAATAAGGATGCAATATATCCCTTGGTTGACCTCCTGCTATTAATGTCACATCCCCAGTCAGCATCCACAAAACACTTTAGTTCTAAAGCTTGCCATCCCTTTGAGTTTTTCATGTCTTCATAGCATAGTTCAAAGTTAGATGTACCGCGAAGATAACGAAGCACCAGCTTTGCTACCATTTAATGCTCTTTCCCCGAATTGGACATATATTTGCTCAATGCTCCCGCTGTTTGATCCATATTTGGACAAGTACAGACTATGGTATACATCAATCTCCCAATTGCACTTGCATATGGGACTTTTACCATCTCTTCAGCTTCTTCTTTAGTCTTGAGACACTAGAGCGCTGATAACTTGGAACTTGTAGATATGGGGGTCTGCATTGGTTAACGGTCAGTCATGTTGAACTTCTTCAACACACTTTCAACATATTTCTTCTAACTTAGCCACAAATTCTCATTCTCACTCTCTTTTTTTATTTGCATGCCCAAGATGACGTTTGTTAGATGTCGCGAGCTACCCGTCCCAATCGGTTAGGCCAAGAGGTATTTGTCGATAGATACGAACATCGATTGATTCGTTTGAAAGACGAACCAAATGGTTCATTAATCCAAGGACCGAGACACTCTCAAGCCTCATACCTCATGCGACGAGAATTATCTAAACTATGCATTCCATTGGAGTCGCCACTAGCCATGATCAAGGGTTGACTAGAAACCCTAATCGAGACGCAGGAGTGTCGTCTCGATACGTGCGAAAACCAGAGATTCCAAAATTCGGGGACTTGATTACACTAGCGATCTAACTAGTGCCCTTTTGGTACCTAAACTTGAATGTTTGCAAACTAACGTACCGGGCAGCCTATCGAAAAAGCTAAGATTCCACCTAACCGTTCTAAAAATAGAAGATAACAATCAATGTATTAAAAGTGCGCAACCAGATAATCATAAAGAAAACAAGCAACCAGCGACCTAGCATCGTCTCTAAAAAAGAAAAGGCAATCAAAAGCCCTAAAGTAAAGCCCTCATGGCTTGTCCGATTTTTGGGAAAATTTTCAAAAGTTTTCTCAATTTTTACAAGTTTTAAACTAAATCTAGAATGAGAAAAACACTAATATCCAGTGAAATTAAGCCCAAAAATGATTTTTGAACATTTCCTGATCTTCTGGAATTTTTGGAATTTTTCTGAATTTTTCTGATTTTTTTTAAAATTTTGGATTTTTTAATAACTTTTTTAAATTTTTTGAAATTTTCTGATTTTTTTATTTTTTCTATTTTTTTTATTACTCTTCTTCATCCCCTTCGTGCCTTTCCTATGCACGTTCTTTTGCTTCTTCACCGAGAGCTTCCTCAGCTGTTTCTTCATGGTGCCTTCACCAAGCCTCGCTGGGACCACGGCGAGGAAGCCCACCGCCGGCCGCCGTTCCGGCGACAATACCGATGACTTACTCCGGTCACGGAACCAACACCGGTCACGGAACCAACATTAACGTGTAAGAATTCGATTTCTCGACTCTCAAATTCTCGACCATCCCATACAGACAGTAACACTGAACACACACGGACTTACACACATCAAATGAAGATAGAGAGCTAACTGTTTCGTTCCAAATCACGAGCACACCCGGCAACCGGGAATGAAACTTCCGACGAGGAAACGTATACACACGACCGACTCGTAGATGTGTGATCAATGACGAAACCACATGAACAAAAGCGAGAAACTTGAAGTCAATGGCAATAACAGAGCAAATCGTGCGTAAATCAACACTCTAGAGTATCGATTTTCATGGAGTTCATCTCGGGTCTCACTTGGGCATTTTACAGAGCAGGTGCTGTGCGACTAAAACTACGGGTTTCTATGTCGATTTCAGTGGGGTTTAAAGGTTTTTCTTGGTGGAGATCGGTCAAGAACGCATCCTGGAGGTGCAAAGAAACATTTTCCTCGTCTTGTGGTGCCGGGCGATCACCGAATAGACTCGGTGTGCCCGGCACCCGAGAGGCAGGGGAGGGGAGGCCAAAACAGGGGAAGGCCGAGAGAGACCCACCTGGTTCACGGCCGACCGGAGCGAGGTGCGACAGCTGGGGGGTTCGGCGTCGGTTCGGGTGGCCCTCCGGCGAGCGGGCGAGACTCGGACCTCTCCGATTCCCCTCAACTCTCTCCCGATCTCCTCTTTCTCTATGATTTTTCTTTTCGGTAACTCCCACTGTTCTTCCTTTTTCTTCTCCCTCTCCTCTTCTCTTGCTCATCAAGCTTTATCCTCCCCGTTCTCTCTCCAGTCAAACTCTCTCTTGACTCCCCCTTTGCATGTGCAGACTGTCGTGTTTCCTTTTTCGTGTGTCCGTGGATGGAGACCAAAGAGAGAGAAAGAAAGGCCTCCCTCACAATCCATGGAAGAGCTCCCCCTTTTGTCTTTTCGTTCCATTTGCCTCTCTTCAATGCGCGTGCAGAGGGTGAGCTGTCCATGGGGAAAAGCTCCTCTTATGTCTTCTCTCTCTCTTTTTTAATCCCTCCTGGACGTGTGTTGACCAAGAGGAAGAAGAAGAGCTTTTGCCTATTTTGTCTCTTCTGATCCGCTTTATCTTTTTTTTTCTTCATGAAAACACGCCGAGCCCTTTCTTCTCTGCCCTTTCTTCCTTTTTGCTTCTTTTGTGAAAGTGTGGGTAGAGTGCCCAGAGATCACGTTTTTGTCTTTCTCTCTTTTCTTTTTTCCTTTTTTTTATAATTTTTATAAAGAGGATTTTCTTTTTCATAAAATAAAAATAAAATAAAATAAAAGGAAAATATGTTTCACTAAATTCTACTAATGCAAATGCGCCTAACATCTATATGCCATGTAACTTAATGAAAATATTTTTGTTTAGGGATTAAAGATTAAACCCTAATTTTCTATGCGGTAAAACTCTAAATGATTAGACAAAATTTAGGTGTCAACATTAGACCTAGATCTTTCATCTCAAACTGTTTTACCAATAGTACAGTGCTAATAATTCTCAAACTATTTCCGACTACTAGCATATCATCAACATATAAGGTTAAGATAACAAATTTATCATCTAACCTCATAACATAGATGCAAAAATCAGCATGACAACAAATAAAGCCAAGTTTCAAGATATATGAGTCGAAGTTTTGGTACCATATTCTTGGAGATTGCTTTAGGCCATACAGAAACTTGTTTAGTTTGCAAAGAAAATCGTATTTTCCTCTAACCATAAACCCATATGGTTGCTTCATGTAAATATCCTCCTCCTCCAAATCATCATGGAGGAATGTTGTCTTCACATCAAGCTACTCTACCTTAAGATTGTATGTAACTGCTACAGATACAACTCTTATAAAATTTAATTTAGCAACAAGAAAATAATCTCACCATAATCGACTCCCTCTATTTGAGAGTACTCCTTTGCAATCAAATGAGCTTTGTATCATTTTATTTCTCCATTTGTAGATATTTTCTTCTTGAATAGCCATTTGCAACCAATTGCCTTTCAATTAGCAGGTAGTTTTGCCAATCGAAATAATTATATGTTCCCGTGAATTTGACAGTGAACACAATAAGGTACATGCTTTATCTTCCTCATCCATATCAACATCAATAGATGCAAGTTTCCCACAAATAGTATTAAACTTGCTTAAGTATACAGAAAAAAAAATCACTTTCACTCATCCGAAGGTTGTATAGTCACTTCTGTGGAAACAACCTATTCACGAGCAGCTTGTTCTGATAAAAGCTTCCCAATTTCGTCCAAAGATCCTTTACCATCTTCTAAGAGGTCATATTTACTAGGACGTTATCAACAAGACATAGACAGATTAGGCTTCGTACCCATTAATTGCTTATGTTCCACTCCTTCAATTCAGTAGACGTGAAGTCCTTTGACTCATCCTCCTTCGACTTCCCCTTGATATTCTCCTCGGGTTTATCATCTTTAATCACATGCCACACATCTCTATCCACGAGTAGGGCCTCCATCTTCAATTTTCATTACTCGAAACCCTTTCCTCCAAATTTCTCTACTTCAATCCATGATTAACCAGTCGACATCTTCCCAAGATTCAATTTTTCGGATCTCTCTTTACCAAGACTTTAACATCAAATCTCACTATAATACCATATGTTAGGATTCGGCTCACAATCGCAATGAAATAGATAGTGAAAACAAG